GTGATAATGGTCGAGACTACATTGTTCTCTCTACTAAACCTGATTGTTCATACTAACACTTTCTACCTCTCTGTATATATTCCTGTTTGTAATATATCTGTGTTATTCCATACCTGTGTTAGAGTTCTTCTTTATTGGTTCTACCTTGGAATGTCACCGTGGCAAAAGTAACCGGACCATAACAGTATCACAGCTCATCAGTGTGACTAGACGTCAGGTTGAAACTTGTATCAAAGAAGGAATGCTAGAATCGAAAAGCGACTGAATTGGCATCAGTCGGGATTCTACCAATAAGCCGTTGGCGCACGGCAGCAATGAAGGTGATTTTAAGCGTATTTATTTTTAGATAAACACACAGTGACTGAGAGAACTCGATTCGATTTACCGACGAGTTTTGATTTGGCCGTAATATTCACTGTTTACAAACCCACACTTCCTCCCCAGAGAGCTCAACCGAAATATATATATATATATATATATATATATATATATATATATATATATATATATTATTTATTTTATTTTGGCAGCATCCTTTCTTTTATACAAGTTTCATTAAAACCGACTGAAAAGGTACTGTGGTTAAGTTTGTTTATTTATTTTTCTTATGTTCATAAAATTTGTTGAAATTGTCTGTATGTCTGATTGGTTTCTGATATGCTTTTGGCCATTATCCTGGATGATTTTATTTTTACTTTAGCATAATGTATGGATTTTTTATCTATGAATTTAGAATTATAGGTTTTATTTCCCAAAAACTGTCAGCACATTGTGGCCCTGTTCATAGTTGATATTACTGACTATTGTTATTTTCCTTTTTTGTTAATAATGCTTCCATTATTTTTAGCCATTTTTTATCAATGAGTTTGGTCGGTCTCTCTCTCTCTCTCTCTCTCTCTCTCTCTCTATATATATATATATATATATATATATATATAATGTAAAACAAACACCCATTAACAATAATTTATCTAAACACATAAATTTTTGATAATATCTTAAACTAATATTCAACAAAACTAATGCAAGCCACAGAAAAATGGCGTAAAATTACTTATTTTCTCTTTTGCATCGATAAATACCTATTAAATGATGGCAACTCTAAGCAAGTTAAACTTACAAAAAAAGTTGGAGAATACTTCTCTAATACATTGTGACATCAAAAGTAACACGCCACTCACCTGACAAATATATGTGTATGTATGTGTGTTTAAAAAAGAAAATGTTTAGAGGTGTGAATATCAATTTTTTATATTAATCATAAAGGGAGATTACTGGTTCTTTCAAAAAAGATAAACAAACCAAACCATAATTTACTATAAAAGTATAATCGGGATCAACGTAATTCAGTAAATATTTGTTTGTAAACCTACACGCAACCATCAATTCATTTGTTTTGGTTCATAAGCTACAGTTATTTAAATGTTTTAAGATAACTAATTATTCATCAAGACATAAATTACATCTATTGCCTATATAAGTTTTGGCTTTAGCTACAATATCCCACGTAACAATTGGTGCCTTAATTCTTTAATTGACAGAAGTGTTTTGAGAAGGCAGTGCTGTTTATGTATCTTATATTGACTGAAGTCATTTGATGATAAAAGAAACAAAATTTCCAAGTATTTTCAGTAGAACCAAAATAGAATTTGACATTGAGGTGCTGAACTCATAAATCTTTGGGGCAAGTCAAAGGATTACTTCAAGCAATATGGCACAATGGATGAAGACGTCGGTTGAAGTAATCCAGTAGAGGTGAATAAAAACTTGGGGAGTTGAGGTACTAAAGGGAAAATAACTGAAACCAGAAAAAGACATGGCACGTGGAACTAGAAAAATCTAACCCGCTGGACGAAATAAAGCATTCAGTTCGAATTTTCAACGTATATCACCTCAAGAAGATCAGAGCGTACAAGGGCCGAAACTTCGTGAATAGCATAATAAAGATAAGGACAACAGTCAAAATGGTGTAAATAGTTACAATACCTAATTTCAGAAATATAGACAAATAATAATAATAAAGATAAACAATAATAATATATATATATATATATATATATATATATATATATATATATATATATATATATATATAAATAAAAAGCTCAAATACTAATATTCCATGGTTATAACTTATTACGTTGGAATTGTAATCACGATCCAATTCATCAGACCAATAAATTCAAAAAGAAATTGCAAAATATAACTCTGGGTATAAAAAACAAAATTTAAGTGAGAGTGTATGTGTGGGAGTGGGAAACAAGTGTGAGAGGGAAATGTATGAAAGCTTTAGAGAGAGAGTGTAATAGAAGAAAGAAAAAGCGGGATGGTCTAAAGGTGAAGGTGGGGATTAAAATTTAACAGAGAGAAATTTTAAAGAGATTTTAAATAACGGTCTAAATGAGTGAGATACAGATAAATATGAATTATATATATATATATATATATATATATATATATATGACCATTAATATTATCTATCTATCTATCTATATATTTTTATATATATATATGTAGTAAAGGGTAATATATATATATATATATATATATATATATATATATATATTTTGAACAATAAAAAAATATAAAAAATTAAAAGCTTTAGACACACTGGGTTGTAGATTAATATTCTTTCGTTTTTTTTTATTATTATTTCATTTAGATTCCTCGACTAGTTTCGGCCAAAATGGCCATCATCGGGAGGAGAAATATTTCTGCTTGCTGGTAGCAGTAAACTACAGAAATGAATGTCTTGCTGGAGAAAATGAACTTTTGTCTGTAGTTTTCATTGTTTTTTATTTTTTTATCTTTTTTAACATATATATAGTAAAAAATATATATATATATATATATATATATATATATATATATATATATATATATATATATATAGTAAAGTTTATAAATCCCTTGGTAGATAATCTAAGTGGATCCTCGTAATATAAAAATTAAAACTGATCTACAAAAGATCACGCTCAATGTATTCATTATTACAGAGCAAAAATTAATATACAGTAAAATCCCAAATCACATCATATGAGGAATAACCTTATTTAGACCAACGAAAAAATGAAATTCGTCGGACTTCTTCAACCCCGGTATGTAGACTGAGTTCGTGTCGGACGTACGAAAAAAAAAAAAAACGAAAAAACTGAAACAGAATTTATCCATTTCAATGTTTCAGTACACACACACACACACACACACACACACACACACACACACACACACACACACACACACACACACACACACAGATATATATATATATATATATATATATATATATATATATATATATATATATATTTTCATTTCATTCGGCTTCATTTCAGCTTTTGGAAGTAAAGTCTGATGATCCAGAACCCTGTTAAAGGGGTTATGGTGAAAGAGCTTATTACATGGAATCTTAACGTGGTCTGTCTTTTATTCAAACATATCTGCTCTGAATTTTACATTGAGCTCTCTGGATATCATCCTCCTCAGGTCTACCCATACGGATTACCTAAATTTGAATAAACTATATATATATATATATATATACATATATATACATGTATATGCAGTTGCGGCCAAAATGTTCAGAACGGCATTGTTTTCGGTAGAAAAGTAGGTATAAGTTTTTATCAAAGTAGTTTTATACTCTATAAATTTTATAGACAAATTTAACCAAATTTACCATGGCACAATCTTCTCACTTTGTCGTTTTTCTTGCCCTACCTGTAGAGACTTTCTTGCTTCACGCGAATCACAATCATTGTAGACCTTAAGAATACCGTGAACAACACTTTTTGACTTGTTAACAATCTTTGCAATAGGCCCAATACTTAAATTATCATTCTTTCGAAGCTTAATAATCTGCTGACGAATTGGTAACGGAGTAAGTGGCATTATATTAACAAAGTACACTGCAGATATTCTTACTAATGTTTAGTAAACGAACCGTCACGTAAACAAATTAAAAAAATTAGAGTTTGCCGGTTAAATATAATAAAACATGGAGTAAAAGCAACCGTTCTGATCATTTTGGTCGCCATGGGTTTTGCAGTAAATCACTAAATCATCCATAACTTTTGTATTATCCACTCAAATTACACCAAAATCTCAGACAATAACAATTAATATCGTATTTAATGTCTGTGAAAATTATAGAATATAAAACAACTTTGATAAAAAATTATATCTACTTTTTTCTGACGAAAACAATGCTGTTCTGAATATTTTGGCCGCAACTGTATATATATATATATATATATATATATATATATATATATATATATATATATATATATATATAAACTAGATTCACACGTTAGCTAAATGACATAATTCTATTTTTTTTTACTTTCCTTGCTTTATTTTCCCATATTTTAGTTTGTTACAAAGAAACTTTGATCGTCTCATTGATAGAGATTGACATACAAAATTAATACGCTAGATGACAGCTATGTAAATAGAAAAATCTCGAGTTGAAGATGATAGTTAATATGTGTTTACAGCATGACATGACAGAAATAAAGTCGTATACGTTGAAACAGATATTAAAATTGATATGAAGAAACAGATACTAAAATCTTTATAGATGTTTACAAAGGGGCAGATAAAGAACTTTTGTGTTTCAGATTTTAGCAATATAAAAATGTCGTGAAGTGTAACAGAAGATAAAATTCGTGTAGCGCTCGTCTGTCGAATAAAAAGGTAGACTAAGTTATGAAAATGTGGAATATTTCACTTTTCACTAGACGTGAACCCTGATTATTCAAGATGGCGACCAGATAAAAAGAAAGATAAAAAGAAAGAGCGAAAGAAAGAAATTAACAAAATGTATGTGATATGAACTGAAAAACAGCAGGGAGAAAGAAAAAGAAAAAGTTAAGAAAGAAATCAGTAGGAAAAATAGAAGGAATTTGGAAATAAATAAATAAATAAATAAATAAATAAATAAATAAAACGAACGAACGAACGAACGAAAGGAAAAAAGGATGCTAAAGGTGTGTGACTCATCTGGGAAAAGAGGAAAGAGGAAGAAAATAAATCTCAAGAATGACCCCAGAAAGGAAAATAGAGAGAAAGAGAATTGAAAAAAAGGAAGGAAGGAAAGAAAGAAAGAAGGAAAGAGAGTGGGTGATAGAAAAATAAAAAGTTAAGAAAAAACAAAAGGAATCGCTAAAAAAAGAAAGAAAAAACAAACGAACAAACGAACGAAAGAAAGAAAATTAGCCTTGAATTATTTGAAAAGAAAGAAAGACAGAAAACAATCAATGACAGAAAGAAAGAAAGAAATAATACAAAAAGTGGCTGATTGAACTGAAAAAAGAGGAAAAAGTAAGAAAATAAAACGCAAGATGACTCCAGAAAGAAAAATAGAGAGAAAGAGAAATGGAAAAAGGAAGGAAGGAAGGAAGGTGGGTGACAGAAGAATAAAAAAAAATTAAAAAGTCAGAAGGAAAAACAAAGAGAATCGGCAGAAGAAAGAAAGAAAAAACGAAAAGAAAGAAAGAAAAAAAGCAGGAAAGAATGCAAGCAAACAAGAAAGAAAGAAAGAAAGAAAGAATGAAAGAAAGAAAGAAAGAAAGAAAGAATACTAAAGGTGGGTAATTGAACTGGAAAAAGAGGAAAGAAAATAAAACGCAAGACGCCTTCACAAACAAAAATAGAGAAAGAGAATTGTAAAACGAAATAAGGAAGGCGGGAATCAAGGAAGAAAAAAGAAAGAAAGAAAAGAAGGATGAAGGAAGGAAACAAAAGAGGGAGTTATATAAACGAAAAAAAAACCCAAAAAAAAAACAGGTGGGAGAAATGAAAAGAAAGAAGTTATAAAAGAACTCAGAAGAAAAATCGAGGGAAGTGGTAAAAGCAAGAAAGAAAAACCGACAAATGAATGAAAGAAAAAGAAAGAATAGTTATGGTGGGAGATTGAAAAAGAAGAAGCGAAAAAAAATGAAAAAGAAATAAAAAGCAAGAAAGACTCGAGGAAGGAAAATAGGAAGACATGTTCAGATGAACTTTGCTCTATGGTACATAGATTTTATGAAAGTAAGCGCAGTATTAGATTGGAAAACAAGGTCTCCTCGTTTTGCAATTGAATTGGCTACACGTAACCGTAAGTCCTATGCTAATAGTTTCTTTTCTCTCACTTCTCGTCTGTGGAAATCTCTTACGGCTTTTTACTTTCCACTCAACTTTGATCTTTCGAAATTTAAATGCAATGTCAATCGTTATCTACCGCCTTCTTGATTCCGCTTCTTTTATTGTTCTAGTTCCTTAATAATGCTTTTTCTGTTTCTTATTCTTGCATACTCAGTCGCCACTTATGTCTTAGTGACTTTATTGCCTTGCTTGGGGTGAAATGATTTTTTTTTTTTTTTTTTTAAAAAAAGAGAGAGAATTGGCAAAAGTAAGAAAGAAATAAAGAATTTTTGAATGGCTGGTGAAAGACGGCGGAATGCGAAAAAGAAAATAATGGAAAATAGAGAAAAGAAATAAAGATGACGGCATAAAAATAATGAACGTATAGAAGAATGAAAAAAAAAAAAACGACAGAAGGAAACAGAAAGAAAATTAAAAGAAGTGAAAATTGGAAAATAATGAAAATACATCGTTTTCTTTTTACGTGCCGTGTCCATTCAGGATATAGGCAATCATGCTTCTCTACTGACCCCTATCCCTTGTAGCTCTCAATAAATTCCATCCCTTTCTCATCTCTTCCAGGTCACGTTCTATCATCGACATCAAGCCCGCCAGGTATTTCATGCATTGCTTTCCCTTGTCTCACTTTCCCTCTATTCGACCTGTGAGTATCAGATTCTCCGGGCCCTCCTTTCTCATTATGTGTCCCAGAAACTTCAGCTCCCTCTTCCTGGTGTTAAGTATAAGCCTCCTCCTTGTTTGCATCCTCTCCAAGACCTCATTGTCGCTCACACGCTCTGTCCATGATATCCTCAGCATCCTTCTGTAGAAACACATCTCCTTCGCCTCGAGTCTCTTCTTCATCTTTGAGGAAATCGTCCAATTCACTGCCGTAAATGAGGACAGATGACACGTAATATCTCAGTACTCTTTTCTTTGTTACCAAAGAGACATGGCGTGTCTAATAAGTGACCTATTTTTAATACATCCTACGGATTTCAATGGCCGTTGCTTAACCCCAGGTAAAAGATTTGATTTTGAATAAGCATTTTCATCATTTGGATGTTTGCCGCAACTCAATTTTACTATAAAATATCTGTCAGACTAGACTACATTTAGAATATACCTGTATCATTTTTCATCATTATGTTCATAAAGGGCGAAAGGAAATTTAGAGTGGGGAAGAAAAGTAAAAAAAAAAAAAAATAAATAAATAAATCATCTGAAAACAGACGAGGCGCTTCGACAGAGGATTTAAAAGCAAACACTAAGAAATTAAACGCATAGAAACAGCTCGTGGAAACGAAAACGAAAGAAAAGAACTTGCTAGGTAATGATAAATTTGATTAAAGAATAAAACCTGATAAGGGCGGTTGTAAAATTTCCCAAAATATCTAACGAGGTTATTGGCGAGGAAATCAGTAATAAATAAGGGGAGATAACCAATCTGTTGCTCTTCTCATTGTTATGTCGTTGTCTTTCGTTGTTGCTCCTGTTGACCGGTTCGGGCGCTTTAATTAAGAACTAAGTAAGTAGTGTGTCTTTCTTTTTCTTTATTTCAATGCGCGGCGGCAAATTCTGCTTGACGGGTAGACTGAAAATCTCGGATTTTCTCATTTTTCCCGTATAAAATTAGTTTTCTCCCGGGAGAGAAACGTGACCAGTGGGGCTGGTTTGCGTAGCAAGAGAGAGTGGAGATTAAAGGAGAGGCAAGAACAGGAAGCAAATAAGTGGGTGGAAGAGAGGAGAAAAGGGATTTTACTGGATCAAATAGTAGAGCGGGTGTGGAAGCTGGTAAAAGATGTCTTTGGTCGGGGAGCTATCCAACATGGCGGGGAGCCAAAGAAGTTGATAAAGACGGGTGATTTAATTGAGAAAGTAAGAAAGGAAAGAAAGCAAAATCAAAGAGAGAAAGAAAACAAAGGAAGGAAAAAAGACGAAAGAAAAATAATTAAATAAAAGTGAAAATTCTTTGAAAAGAGAAAGAAAAAAAGTGAAGAAAGAAAGAAGTGAAAATTCTTTGAAAAGAGAAAGAAAAAAAGTGAAGAAAGAAAGAAGTGAAAATTCTTTGAAAAGAAAAAAAAAAGTGAAGAAAGAAAGAAGTGAAAATTCTTTGAAAAGAGAAAAAAGTGAAGAAAGAAAGAAGTGAAAATTCTTTGAAAAGAAAGAAAAAAAGTGAAGAAAAGAAAGAAGTGAAAAATCTTTGAAAAGAGAAAGAAAAAAAAAAATGAAAGAAAGAAAGAAGTGAAAATTCTTTGAAAAGAGAAAGAAAAAAAGTGAAGAAAGAAAGAAGTGAAAATTCTTTGAAAAGAGAAAGAAAAAAAAAAAAGAAAAAAGAAAGAAGTGAAAATTCTTTGAAAAGAAAGAAAAAAAGTGAAGAAAGAAAAGAGTGAAAATTCTTTGAAAAGAGAAAGAAAAAAAGTGAAGAAAGAAAGAAGTGAAAATTCTTTGAAAAGAGAAAGAAAAAAAGTGAAGAAAGAAAGAAGTGAAAATTCTTTGAAAAGAGAAAGAAAAAAAGTGAAGAAAGAAAGAAGTGAAAATTCTTTGAAAAGAGAAAGAAAAAAAGTGAAGAAAGAAAGAAGTGAAAATTCTTTGAAAAGAGAAAGAAAAAAAGTGAAGAAAGAAAGAAGTGAAAATTCTTTGAAAAGAGAAAGAAAAAAAGTGAAGAAAGAAAGAAGTGAAAATTCTTTGAAAAGAGAAAGAAAAAAAGTGAAGAAAGAAAGAAGTGAAAATTCTTTGAAAAGAGAAAGAAAAAAAACAAACAAGAAGAACGGATGCAATAAGCAAAAAAGTAAAAAGAAAAGAATATAATGCCAAGAGAAAGAAAGACAAAAAGGATATTACATATGTTTAAAAGTTTGCAGGACCATCTCTTATGAAAAATATGTAGAATACATCATATATATATATATATATATATATATATATATATATATTAAATTGTGTGTATTTAGGCAGCATTTTTTCATTCATACATGTTTCATTAAATAATATAAACAAGTGTTGTCTATTTATTTTGTGTAAATTATTTTCTTAACGTCTGATAAGCTTAACAACATTATCATTACACGAAGAAAGAAAAATCACAATAATGACACATATTTTTTAATCCAATCTAAGCTTTCGGCTTACATAAGCCATTATCAAAGATGACAATTACAGTGCAATATATTAAGCAATACACAGACAAGACAGTGATGATAGTCTGTTTCTGCTTACATGGACGATTTCCAAGCAACGATAAACACGTGCATGTAAGACGCTGGAAGCGAAAATCGCACCGCAGCTCTTGATGTCACACATGACCACGCGAGAGTGAATTCACAAATTATTAATTATGGGAAGCCGTTAGTATAAACCAATGGCTTCTGCTACCACTTATAGAAATTTAAGGATATTTGTGGAGATTTCATAGTTTATTTTGTTCAGATTAGGTTTCAACTGTTTTATGTATATAGCTTCAAGAATTTTCAGTTTTTGTTTATTGTTTTCATGTTAAAGTATAGTTGTGCTTTCAAAATACTTCTTGAATTCACTCTCGCGTGGTCATGTGTGACGTCATGAGCTGCGGTGCGATTTTTGCTTCCAGCGTCTTATAACATGAAACATGCATGAATATATATATATATATATATATATATATATATATATATAGTTAAAAAATTTGAGGCCACTCCCAGAAATAGCCCGGGATGAATGTGACAGAAGAATGGGGAAAAGAGAGCTCTTAGAGTCATCGAAAAAAATTACTTTGAGAAACTTTTGCAATGCATGGCAAAAATTTGTGCTGCAGCAATCAAGGCTAAAGGAGGATATTTTGATGAGAGCAAAATTCAATTTTAAAATGCTTTTTTTTTTCTTTTTTGTCCTAATAATATTTCTAATAAGAAATCGTGTCTCACTTTTATAACATGAATAATAATTTTGTCTTATTTAAAGAACAAAACAACTACTTTTGGGTACAGTCTAAAAAAAAATCAGGGTTGCTTCAAACTTTTGAACTGCAATGTATGTATATATCGTTGGAAACTAATAAAATTTTACGAACAAATAATTAAAAACGATAAACAAAAGTGAAAAATGACGAAACGAAATGATGTTGTAGTTATGATGAAGACTAAAATGAAGTAAAAAAATGAAATGAATGAAAGCGGAGATATGATGGCTGTTTTGTGGTGGCGACGGCACATTAGGAATAAAAAAAAAATAATCGTTATGTCGTTGAGATAAGTATTTTCCTAAGGATACTAACAGTGGTTTCCACTCAGGTAGAAGCTATCCCACATATCTATAAGTTTATCATTCGTCCATGCTTACAATATTGCTGCCACAAATGGTCTGGTAGACCTGCTAAATACATTGAGCCTCCTGATAAAGCCCAAAGAAGAATCAGCAATATTATCGGTCCTTATCTGGCAGCTCGCCTTGTCACTTTCCCACCGCCGTAAGGTTTCCCTCCTAATTTTTTTCTATAAATATTTTCATTGTAATTGTTTGGAAGAGCTCTTCCCTATGGGGTGGATGTAGTAAGAAAGGTATATATTAAGAAATGGACAAAGTCCGACAATTTATTTATTAAAGACATTTTTATGTTTAACGTTCTTTTTTATAGATGCAAGTATTTAAGTAAATGCTCTGTTTATAATAAACATTATTAAATAACATTTACCGGCCTGAATTTTTTTGTGGCCGATCGGTAAGGCACCTCAGCGTAAATGACGGTTCCGTATAGGATGCAGGTTCGAATCCTGTCAAAGGACGAATATTTTCTATGAAAATTTCTCGGACATTCAGGCCGGTAAATGTTATTTAATACTGTTTATTATAAACAGAGCATTTACTTAAATACTTGTATCTATAAATAA